ACCACTGTCTCCAACACCCAAATCACCCCCACCTATATCACCTAAACCTGTGGGACTTAATGCGTTTAAACTGCCAAAGAAGCATGTTAAACGCTCTGAATCCATGAAGACAAGTGCAGAAATGCAGAAGGGAAAAATCCTGAAACTTCATACAGAAAAGAAAAGTAAGATCGTCCAGGAGCCTGTTTCGTCTAGTAAGAATATAGTAACTGACCCAGTGGCGACCACAAAAACAGGTGCTGTTAAAGCAGCACCTAAACGGTATGGTGCTCCATCCAAAAAGACTTCTGACGAGAACAGCAGTCCACCTAAAAACACTATTGATGATCTTGATGGGGGTGCTAGTCTCAGTCCTGACTTGCCTGGAGAAGAGGCACCTCCACCCCCAGACAACATTGCATTTATGATCACCAACACCAAGGTTAAGCCACTGTCTTGTGGAGAGTACCAAGAACTGGTCAATGCCAAAAAAGGAAGTGTGCAGACTGTTACTGTAGGCAATGCAGCAAATCGAGGAAACACCACAGCTGATCCTTCAGTGCCGCAGGATAACGGCTTCAACAAGAAGCCTGTCATCATCATCTTTGATGAGCCGATGGATATCCGTTCAGCTTACAAGCGTCTTTCTACCATCTTTGAATGCGAGGAGGAACTGGAGAGGATGCTTGCAGAAGAGCGCATTGAGGAGGAGAGTGAGGAATCCGACACAGAGAGAAGTAGTGGGCTGCCGGTCATTGCAGAAGGGGCTGAGATGGTTGGTGGCAAAAAAATCAGCAGCTCACAGGGAGCTACAGATCATGCCAGCCTATCATCTTCATCCTCTTCTTCGATATCTGAACTAACAGACAACGGGCTAAACTTAGATTCAAATGGAGACTCCAAGGATGGGAAGAAGAAATTCAAGTTCAAGTTCCCTAAGAAACAGCTGGCAGCACTGACTCAGGCCATTCGCACAGGCACCAAGTCAGGCAAGAAGACGCTACAGGTGGTTGTGTATGAAGATGAAGAAGAATCCGATGGTACAATCAGGCAGCACAAAGAAGCGAAGAGATATGAGATTACGCGGTCAAAATCCTTTGCAGATACTCCCAGGGGAACAGACACTGCCCCGCTGAAAAAGCAGAACTCCGAAGCTCTCGGCAGGACGGATGAGATTCGGAAGAACACCTACAAGACACTAGACAGCCTGGAGCAGACCATCAAGCAGCTAGAGACCACAATTAGTGAGATGGGACCACGCTCCCCTGATGAGTCGGTTAACACCGAGGAAGCAAATACAGGGAATGGGAAAAGCTCAGTCGGAGTAGGGCTGAAGAGGTCGTCCTCTCTGCCTACCTCCAAAGGGCCTGGCCCTAAGGTACCTAGCAAAAATTCACTGCAGAAGAAGCCTAAACCTCAGCTCCTTCCACGCCCTGTAATCAACCCTTCTACCACCACCAACACCAACACTGTCCCCAGTGTCCCCAGCACCGTACAACAGGTCTCTCTTTAGCTCTTGTTGTTCCCGGAGGCTTTGGGTTTCTTCTCTTTCAGTTTTCTAACTTACCTCCACTCCCAACTTAACCACTGAAATTACAAAATCATTAATCCCCTCCCCCCACAGGTGCTTGGAAATGGAAATGACTCCCCTCTTCAGTACAAAATCATGGTGACATGATTGGGTGTGGCATTTTGTTTGGTTCCTGGCTACCATCTTTCTTCTTCAGTTTATTGCTAAAACTCAAGAGGTTTTCAGCAAGTGGCACACTCATCATCAGAGACACTGTCATGATGATCAAGCTCTAATTATCCTTGTTCTTGACTGCATGCCTTGTGTATAATGGCTTTATGGTCCCACTGGGTGCATGATCTTTCACTGGCGTTGATTGTTGACTTATTGAATGAACGGGGATTTTTTTGGGGATTTTTAAACCTGTTAGTGCCTCGACTTTTCATACTTCCTATTTGGTGTGTTTTTTCTATCTTTTTTTTTATTTTCTGTTTTGTTTTTCATTTGGATCCCCTGCAGAATACCAGTGTCGCTTCCCCTACTAGTCGGATGCCCGTCCCTTTGTCTGCGAAGTCCAGGCAGTCACCGGGTACAACTGACAAAGCAGGAAAACAGCAAAAACTGCAGGACGCTCAGAGGCAGTTCCGACAGGTAGTTTTACTGTAGGGTCTTAACAGAGACTACAGGGAACAAATATAGGGAATCGAAAGCATGTGGCATATGAGGGAGGGTGGGGGTGGGAAGACTTCCAAAGCTGTGAGGTTTCAAGTGTTGTGAAAAAAAGAAAGTCACGATAGTGGCGACTGTGGATCTGTTCACGTTTCTCTCGAGTCTGCTCTGACACGAAGGCATGTTTGACTCTTGACTGTTATCCCCATAACATCACTGTACTGTATGCTTCTGCATGTCCACACTGCTCATGGTTTTCACTGTGTTGGTGGCTAAAAAAAAAAAAAAAGAAGGAAAAAAGGCGGAGACAAACGGAATCCTATCCTGTCATCATCTGAGTTGTCATCACATCTCCAATTCCCATCACAGCTGAGTTCCTAAACAGTGTTGCCAAGCCCTAAGATGCTTATGGCTATGTTTGATACAAACTTATCTGACTTTTTAAAAACATTTTTTGGCTATGCTCCTCCCTTCTCACAATGCACCTCTGCTCAAACCCAACATCACTGCACAGCTTACTTAACCCCAAGGTGATACATTCTCTTACCGTCAAGACTTCGGCATAACCCACCCACCTTGCATCGTCACTTTCACTGGAACACTGGCCCACATTTTCCCCTATCTGCTATCACTCTTCAAACACCTAACCCTATTACCTAATTCTCTCCGGACCTCTTACGCGTATCTATTCTCTGAAATGTCTCCAACACTCTTCCCAAGGCCTAACAATCCCTCTAACAAACAGCCACTCTGTAGAGAGACCCATCCTGTCTGCCATTGCACTGTCTAACCTTTGCCTGGTTCTGTTTCTTGGTAACATGTCTGTCAGTTCAGTTTCTCACCTTTTGTGCAACCCAGTAAAAAAAAAAAGACAGACAGCTTTTGTATCTGGGTATTTTTATTGGTTTTTTTTGTTTTGTTTTTTGGTGTCTTTTAGTTCTGTCTTAGTTATATTAATGCTTGTGTAGTCATAGTGTCTGTCCATGTAATTAACTTGTAGTTTTGTTTAACATTGTCTTGCCTTTTTTAATTGTATTATTTTACCAGTTTTCTTTTTTTGACAACAAGTATCTGTTTTGGCATCTCTGTTTACAGGCTAACGGAAGTGCTAAAAGAGTGGGAGGGGATCATAAAACGACTTCCCCTACTATACCCATCTCTAAAATCCCTGCTTTTTATCCTAGCTCTACTAAAGGCAGCTCCCAGTCCACACAGAATTCAGATGCTACTAACCCCATTAACCCTTCTTCCTCTTCCTCCTTTGTGACAAAGTCCTCCATTCTGTCCTCTCACCCACCTCGTTCCAGCTCCCTACCTTCCACCCATATCCCCTCCCTGTCTAACGGATCCCTCAAACTTCCCACACCCTCACAGCACACAGGTAAAGCTCTCTCGTTTTCCTCGCAGAATGGTCGAGTCCACTCCTCCTCCTCTTCATTCTCCTCCTCCTCCTCATCCTCTTCCCCCTCCCCTCTGTCGCCCACACCTTTGGGCCCAGGTGGAAAGAGCATCCGCACCATACACACCCCCAGCTTCACCAGCTACAGGTCCCACAACGGCAGCAGCGGCAAATCCTCCATCCCAACAGCCACAGCAGCTAAGGACACTACTTAGCCCCATTATCACCCCTCTGGCTTTTACAGCATAGCAGGTAGACCTGATCATATTTTATATTGGTTTTGGATTGTTGTTCATTTTCTTTTTATTAAAGTTTTTTTTTTTTGTAAAAGTATTAAGTGATGGACTCAAATCATGTTTTTCCTTTGACACTGGCATTCACACACTGCTACTTTTATCTTCATTTTCACATTTTGGATCATGCTTACTTGGATATCGATTCTCTCTTGAAGGCGTTCCAGATGACAGAATATTTTGCAATGTAACTATAAACGATTTAGTGTTGCCACTTTGTAGCTGAAGTGGAAGGCTTTCATGGTGTTCAAAAATGTATTTTCTTGCTGTAGCTATGAGTAGGGAATAGAGAGTTGATGTACAATCACAAAATATCATGTAAAAAAAAATTGTGTTATATTTTTTTGAAACAAGAGATTGAATAACCGTAGTATATTTAATCTTCTATATTTCCTATGTTGCCGGACATTCGACGCTGCCCTTGTAAATGCCTTTTTCTGAATGTATACACGATGTATACAGACATTTTAAACTCATTAGTAACTTTAGTTTTTTAAGAGTATTTTCTCATGTTTCCACCCATTTGAACTGCCGGTTTATTTTACAGATTTACAACAGGTATACTAAATAATAAAAGTTTTCATTTTATTGTGCCTATTTGCCAAAGTTGTTGTATAATGACTCACTTCAAGCCTAACTCAGTCATGACCTTTTAGGGGAATTTACATGCAATCTGTGTGGATGGCCGAAGTGTTGACCTCAGTGTTTGCACTGCTGGTCTCGGTTTGTTAAGTTAACATGTATTGTTGTTTAAATGTACTTAAGTCAAAGTGATAAACCTGTTCTACCACGTGTACATAAAAGCTTCTACTAAGAAAAAAAGTAGTTTTGTTAACATACCAAAGTTTATTTGTATGCATGCCTTTCGATTACTTTAGGAGAGTGGTGTAAAAGACGACGTTTGCACAGATAGATTTTGTAAATATTTGATTTTCTCTCATTTTTTTTGTAAAGCTTTAAATCATGCTATAAAGAAACTATGTAATAAAGACAAAAGTGTGTTGGAGTAGTAATAAAGACTTGCATGCTTGTAGTGCATCAGGCTTCCATGGCTTTTTCAAGTTCTTTGTGGTTTCCTATTGGGCTGATTCACAGATGGTATTTGTGTGTAAATACGAAACTAGATATGCAAAACACGCAACTTCTCACTTCTTCTTTGCCCGTATCCTGTGCACACATCATTGCTATTCGACTGGTGGCAAAACACGGCTCTGCATTACTGTTACAGGTAAGGAGATGATTTATGATTATTGCCAGTTTGGAGTTACCCTACATTTGGATTAAACTATCAAACATTTAGGTAATTCACTAACATATAAGCTCTAATAATTTTGTACTTAGTCATGTAGCCATGTTTGGTACACTTTATTGTTTAAGTGAACATGCAAATGAATTTTTCTGCAACAGAGCAAAGTGTCTTTGGCAAATGAAGTTACAAAGTCGCTAACTGGGTTTTAAAGGCAGTATCATTATCAGTATACATTTAATTAGATTGTTATAGTTTGGTTGACTTTTTTCATGTTCTGGTTGATTTTACCTTGTACGTATGTACACACAGACACATACACAGTGATATGTTAGTTCTACTACCGGTATATAGCATTTTTATATGCTATACTACCAAAAAAAGTACCTCTTGAATGTAATTATTCTTTTGTTGATGTTAATGAAAATGTCATCCTGCTTGCTTGTTACACTGACGTTCCGCAAGAGTAGTTCCTCTTTCTAATGTGTAATACACACATGATTCTGCATATGATTTTATAACGTTATGTCACATTTTTCTATTTGCATTCTTAGTTTCATTATGATCATTTAAAAAGTCACTAAAACATCATGTGAGTGAACGAAGGCTATCATGTGGCTGTCAATTGTTGTAACAGGCTGTTTGTGTCTAATTTGTGCTGGACCAGGCCGATCCTCTGCGCAACAACTATGAATGTTTCCGGGGAGGAGGGAGAGAGCTTCTATGGCACTTCTGGAGCTCTGTGGAATTATTCTCTTTCCATTTTTTACATCCTGATTTTCATCATCGCAGTGCCTGGGAACATTTTGGCTCTGTGGGCATTCTTTCACCAGAAAAGCACATCTCCATCAAGAGTCTTCCTGAGAAACCTCTCTGTAGCCGACATATCTTATGTCCTCGTCTTACCCATGCGCATAATTTACCACCTATCTGATAACCACTGGCCCTTTGGACACATCATCTGTCAGCTGTTAGGCTTCTTGTTCTATCTAAACATGTACTGCAGCCTCTACTTGATGAGTTTCATCAGCCTGGACAGGCTCCTGGCTGTGGTTATACCTTTAAAGTCACAATCATTCAGGAAGCCTTTGTATGCAAATGTAGCGGTTGGCATACTGTGGGTGATAGTTATTGTTTGCATGAGTCCTACACTCTTTTCTGGAAGAAAACAAACCAACTCATCTGGCATTTGTAACAAACTGTACTTAGAAAAGACAAATCCAACAGCTTTAACTTCCACTATTGTGGCATTTGCAATTCCCCTCGTCACTATAGTGGTTTCATACATACTGATCCTGCTGAAACTAAGAACAGTGCAGCAAAATGAAGAACGACCGGTGAAAGACAAAGCTATAAAAATGATTATACTTATTGTGATGAACTTCCTGTTCGCATTTGTGCCCTACCATGTGTGCAGAATAATCTACATTCAACAGCAGAGCTTTGGAAATATTACTGAGGGGCTGAGAAAAGCCAATCAGATAACATCTGCACTCACCTGTATCAGTGGTATACTGGATCCTGTCATGTATTTCTTTTTGAATCGTCTATACAGGAAAACATTTCTTAAGCTGTTCTGTAAAAATAGGGAAGATGTCATATAAAAAATGCAAATGGGGAAAAAATGGAGGTAATGCTAACCATGTTAAAAACATCAGCGTGGTTCCTATAGCACCTAACCGCAAATCAGACAAACTGCACTTCCCCTGATTCATCGACTTTGAAATTGTCAGAATTAGCCAGTACTTGTTTAGGGAACTATAATAGGTCAAAGATAATTTGTCAGTTTGGGACCTGTTAGCTTTCTGTCACTGAAGACTGAGACATTTTTTAAAATTTATTTACATTTTTTAAAATTCTGTTTTTATTTTATTCTATTTTTAATTTTTATTCTCTGAATTACTCAGAAATCTTATCCCCAAAGGAGTGAAACATCTAAGCTTCTGCTTTACGATACTTTATTTGTCTCACAAAAGGTAACTGAAAGTCTGTGACCTCAGCAGAAGTAAAAACAATTGTTGCCTCTTGCAGTCTATTTTGGTTCCAGAGTTCAAAGTTTGAATAAAGAATCCTGGTTTTCATGACAAAAAAACCCTACTTTAATAATCACATTTCATTGTTAAGAAATAGTTTGAGTGAGAGTGTGTGTGTGTGTGGGGGGGGGGGTCTGGTAAGAATGCCAAGAGGTTAAATCCACATCAGAGCAGAAGCGTTATTAGGCAACTGCATTATTCAGCAGTAGAACTGTGGACTGCTAAAGTTTCCTTCCTGCAGTCTAAATGCGTTACCTAGTGGAGCCACGTGGTACATTATAAAATGAGACAGAGGGTTAAGGGTATAGATAGTGTGGTGCTTTCAGTGCCTTAACACCTACAAAATGTTGCTAAAAATAGATGATGCAACAACGTGATAAGCATGCCACTGTTTTAGCTTTTGTGATGTTGTTGGGATCAAAACAAGAAGAAGAATGTGCACATTTTCAGAAATCTAAATGGTGTGTTTACAATGGCTTCAGTAGTGTAAAATATGCAGCACAACTGCTCAGGCCTCCCAGGTGAAACGCTATTTTACAGGTTTGGTTTCTTTGTGTCAGGAAGTTGAAGGTTCTCTGTGTGTTGTTGGGGGTTTTGTCCACTTTACAAAAAGTGTACCTCATTTAGAAGCTGCACCTAATTATCGCTTATTTTGAAAATAAAATTAATCATCTGAATATTAAATAGTTTGCTCGTAACTTTCTTCAGAGTATTTGTCTAAGATTGAAGAAGTTTGCAGCAGATCAAATCGACCACTTGATGGTGACAAACACACAGAACAGTTGGTTTTGTGATTGTAGATTACGTCATAGTAAAATAAACAATATAAATACCTTATTTGATATTTGACACAAGTAGAACATTGAACCAACTGATAGAGTAGTTTTAACACAGTTTTTAAAAGAGCAGACCTGATGATGTAGACTATAAAGTAAACCTATTACATGAAGTAAAATGTTGTAATTTGTTTCAGAAAGGTTTACAAGATGGTAGTGAGACCTACTTTGACCTGGTCAGTCAAAGTGAAATGCGCAGAGGAGGCATAGATGATGTATTTCCTGGGTACGGGGTGAATATGGGAGTGCCAGGCAAGAGGAAAAGAGGAAGACCACAAAGAAGATTCGTGGACGTGGAGAAGCAGGACCTGTAGAAGGTTAGTGTGAGAGAGGAGGATGCAAACTATAGGGTGAGCTGGAGGCAGATGATCCACTGTGGCGACTCCTAAAGGGAGCAGCTCAAAGAAGATGACGATGATGATAAAAATAACAATGTTTTAAGCACTACGTGTTGGGGCAGATTTTATTACATCATGAAACGCAATTCTTTGATTACCGAGAGATGGGGTAATTCCCATACCTTTGAGGGGAATAAACTTCTGTTGTTTTTGACTTGTGCGGGTACCCGTATTTTCTCCTTGTTACCAAGGCAGCCAGGAAGAAGCTGTGAGGGGAGCGGACCGTGAGTGTAGCTATTTGTTTAACCTTCATTTGCCAAACTTGGGCGTGTAGGCAGTTTTCTTCTCAGCTAAAACACTTTACTGTGCCGTTGCTTTAGTTTTTACATTAATAAATGACGCAGTTAGGGTGTTGAACCGCTCCAAAACTTAATGTTAACGAAGCTAACTAAGTTCATCTGGATTTGTTGCTATTAGTCGGGTATGCTTAAACCCATTTCGATAGTAACTGCAAACGCGTTGCTTTGTCATTTTTTCAGTTCTTAATAATAAATACATGAATGAATAAATACAAATAATTCTAATGCTACCTGTTGCTTTTGTGGAAAGAGCTTAGCCTTTTGCTTGTTGTTGTTTTACGAGACGGCCTGGAAAAAAACAACTTAAAGATCAGAAATGCCAGTGACAAACCATCAAAAAAAGATTTCCTTAATTGACACTCCATCCCGCCCCGTCTTTTATTACACAGGAGCAGCTATGAGCATCGAAAAAAGTTGAGCAGTTCTTTTTCTCCAACTTATTTGGCCACCATGGGCACCGCATCCTCTATGGTGAGCCCAGGAGAGGTTATCGAGGACGGGTATGGGGGTGAAGGCGGGGAAGCCTGTGAGATACCCGTCGAGGTGAAGCCCAAAGCCCGACTACTGCGCAGCTCTTTCCGCCGAGGACCTCGTGTGATTGGGGCCAGTTTCAAATCCACAGCATCTGTGGATCTAGAGTATGCTGCAGAGTATGAAAGACTCCGTAAAGAGTACGAAATCTTCCGTGTCAGCAAGAACAACGAGATCTCATCCATGCAAAAGAAGGAAGCAAAGCTGGATGAGGAGAACAAGAGGCTGAGAGCAGAGCTGCAGGTGATAATGAACAAAATGCACAAGGCTTATTCTAACTTCACTGAAAAAGTTGTGGGCTTTGGATGATTTAATGTGATGGTGGGATGCTGCTATTTTCAATGTCACTACAGGCTCTGCAGAAGACCTACCAGAAGATCCTCAGAGAGAAAGAGAGTGCTCTTGAGGCAAAATATCAAGCTATGGAGAGGGCTGCCACATTTGAACATGACAGGGACAAAGTAAAACGTCAGTTTAAGGTACATCATAGACGTAGGCAGATTAATACCAAAGTTGGTATTGTTATCAGATTGATACTAGTGATCAAACATCCTCAAACAGTGCCCACTATGGAAAATGTCTAAATCTTAGTGGTCATTAAAATGTGTTTGTATAGAATTTGTAAATTTATTGACACATTTATTGACACATTGCTCTCCGCTACACAACCTGGCTTTATAGGTTAAAAGTATCAGAAATACTGACCCTGCGTTTATTTGGTATCGGATCTGTACTAAAATTTGCGTTATCCCACAGCACTAGTACACCGCATCACGCCTCATTTCACAAGAGGGTGAAAGTTCCCCCTAATACCTCACATGTCTTTCTTTTACAATCATCAACAATAAACAAGCATAAAATGATCAAATTTGAAGTCAAAGTCAAAGTATGATAAAAGTACAATAACATCCATTCATTTTGGCTCTGGTTGTCCAAGCCCTGACACAGCTCTGTGCCTCACAGTTTGAGAACGATTGTGGCATTGCATTCTTTCTAGTATTCACATTTGCAGCTTTAACCTTTTGGCAAAATCACCACCAGATTTTCCGGGAGACAAAAGAAAAGGAGATACAGGATCTCCTGCGGGCTAAAAGGGACTTGGAAGCCAAACTTCAACAGTTACAGGCTCAGGGAATCCAGGTTTATGACCCAAATGACTCAGATTCCGATGACAACCAAACCACTGTCACTGGTAAGACGAAAATTCACACTATTGGGGACTTTTTGTTATTAAGCCATCAATCGGTTCTGCATAAGTTTTCCTGTCCAGCAAATATGATGATAAAACACCACAGTGATTTATTAAATGTCTTCAGCTGCAGGAACACAGTGCGAGTACTGGACTGGCGGTGTGCTGGGAAGTGAGCCCTCTATGGGCAGCATGATGCAATTGCAACAAACATTCAGAGGACCAGAGTTTGCACACAGTTTAATAGATGTGGAAGGGCCCTTTGCTAATGTGAGCAGAGGTAAGGAAACTTTGAGAGGGAAGAGAGTGTTTCTGAGAAACTGACCTCTAGATGACCTAGTTATTGTGATTTTTTTTATTAACATCATTCTGTTTGCAAGCAGGTATTTTTGAAGCACATATTCACTAATCTCTTCATGGGCATGACTTGTATATTTTACCATATGTGTCTGTCTTTGTCAGATGATTGGGATGCTGCTGTGGCGAGTCTGTTGCAGGTGTCACCTCACGTTCCCCAGGCCTTGTGGAGCAACACAGTCCGCTGCTACTTGATCTTCACCCAGGAGACCAAAGCTGAGCTGGATATATTTATAAAGGTCGGTAAGATGAGCACTGTAAAAACTGTAAATATTCTGTTTTCATGTGATGTTGTTGTACCACTATAACGCTGCCCACTTTTACGTGGCTGTTTCTTGGACATGGCTTAAAGTAACACAGTGATAGGACTGTAGCGTTATATTATGAAAGGCTGAACTAAGCTAAGATAAAAATGAATGACTCGATAAATATGCCAGTAAAATCATTATTTGGATTTTTTTTTGCTTTTTAATTTTGGACATTTTGTATTTCATTGAGTCAGATCCACTCATAGAATTTTAATTGAATCAAATTAAAAGGAAAAAACAAAACTTGATTTTATCTTTGAGAAAATCTGTGTGTGGGATTGTGGGTTTAAAATGGCAGTTTTTGTGAAAAATACCTTTAACCTTATTATAACCTTCTACCTTATTATTAATCAGGTCTGGGAAAACTGTGCTTAATGTTTTAATTGCAGAAACACACCTCTGTATTGCGGCGAATATGTGAGAGTCTAGGCCATTTCTACCTTAATGTCTTCTTCCCAGAGGAGAATGCGGCTTCATACGCTGTAGAGCGCAAGCTGGAGATTGAAAGGAGTTCTCTGTGTGTTCTTCTTCTCAAATCTACTGTCCCTAGGTATGGTGAGTTTAGGAAATTGATAACCTTATAATAAAGATTGCACACAAATTCTTTTTTTCTCGAAAGATTAACGAAGGTTTGTGTTTAATATTCATGCATAATACATTGCCGTAGCTCTGTGGTGGAGGATTGTGAAGAGGCTTTTGTTAAGAATCCAGATGGCCATCCATTGGTGCTGTATCTTAGGACCGAAGAAGATCACAATTTAAATGGACCCATCAGGCAACTGCTCGAACGGGTCAATGCTGCAGACAAGGCTGCTAAAATCAAGGTACTTATATGATTAATAATTTTAGAAAAAAATTTTTTTAGTTTCAACCCATTTCATGCAATGCATCAGTATAAATAAAATAATAACTGTGGAGAAAAAGCTGATATTTTTCTGTTTATTGTCTTTAAATGCAATCTAATACTGTGTCTGTCCCAAACCTGTTTTGAACATTACTAGGTAGTGGATCATAGTGGCTCTGCAGAGGAGGGGGCCAGCCTGATTTATGCTCAGCTAGAGAAAATCATCAAGCAGGTACAGACTGTCTTTTAACATCCTTATTTTTATCAATTCACAAAGCTTAAAGTCTGTGGTATAAGAACTAAAACTGAAACCTTTTTTTGTCTGATTTTTTTTTTCTTTCCTGCTTCATCCAGGAGTTGCTGGGTCTTGAAGTAGCAGACGTTGAGTCTAAGGACTCTGGGATGGACGAGGGGTGCGAAGAAGACTCGGGAGATGTGCTGTGGGACCTACATGATGAGCAGGAGCAGATCGAGGCCTATCAACAGGCTTGTAGCGGCACCACCTCACAATTAAGCTTCCAGAAGGTACTTCAGTTCTTACTGATCCCTTCAATCTTTTGATTTTGTTTTCAAATCCTACTTTTCATTGATATTACTAATGCTGTGATGCATCAATGACCTCAGTATATAGATCGTTTGAATGACATGATAGCTGCTCCCCCTCCAACACCACCTCTCCTGGTATCTGGGGGTCCAGGCTCAGGAAAATCTCTTTTACTCTCCAAATGGTAAGAACTAATTTCTTCAGTTAATTATAACGTATCTGTCATGAATTCCTCTTAAATAAAACTGTTGTAAGTCTTTAATAGGTTTCCAAACTTTTAAGCAGTACATTTAGAAATGTTACAAAGTAATTATAACCGTTCAACCTTCTCTGTTTTCTTTGTATTGTTGTAGGGTCTTTACCTTACAATATAAAGCGCCTTGAAGAAACTGTTGTTGTGATTTGGCGAAATATAAATAAAACTGAATTGAATTGAACTCTCCAATCACTTCAGGCCAACACTCTTGCACCCTTGGGAAAAAGAATCTTGTTTTATATTATATATTAAATGGACAAGTATGTTCTTTTTAATGATCTGGAATATTCTGGACCTTTTGCATGCTTTGCCTGCTTTGCTAATTAGTCTTGAATTCTCTTCAGGATCGAGCTCCAGCAGAAACAATCCCCCAACACCTTGTTTCTGTATCATTTTGTTGGTCGGCCACTTTCAACAAGCTCAGAGCCAGTTCTCATTATCAAACGCCTCACAGTTAAAGTAAGGGATATCTCTGATTGCTTCTTGTTAATGCTTTCTTACACTGATGACTCTGCATTATTAAACTACTGAAAGAAACAGTTTTTATTTCTGTCTGTTTTCAAACAGCTGCTGCAGCACTTCTGGTCCATTTCCGGCTTATCCATGGAGCCCAGTAAGATCTTAGAAGAGTTTCCCCGCTGGCTTGAAAGACTGTCAGCGCGCCATCAAGGAAACATTATCATCATCATTGACTCCATTGACCAAATACAGGTTAACAGCCTCTACAACTATATAAAATTCAAAATTCAACTCAGCTGGGTTTACTCTCTGCTGTATATTTTTGTCTGTACTACTGTTTGTCCCCTTTTGCTCTAGCAAGCAGAAAAACACATGAAGTGGCTAATTGACCCTCTGCCTGTCAATGTCAGAGTGGTGGTGTCTGTCAATGTAGAGACTTGTCCTCAGGCTTGGAGGTAATACACAATCGGTGAATTCCCAGTATCCCAGTATTGGTCAAAATGGCTATTCATATGCTTTTCTGTGACTTTGTGTGTTTAGGTTGTGGCCCACACTCCACTTAGACCCACTGAGTCCCAGAGAGGTCAGGAGTATAGTCAATGCAGAGTGCCAGAGCATGGATCTCAAACTTACTAGGGATCAGGTCAGTTGTGACCCCTTCACAAGGTCCTTCAAAGACATTTAAAAATCCTTAGCAGCAGTATGTTTGTTTGTTTTTTAAAGATTGTGATACCTGAATGTGTGTATTTTGTTTCAGGAGAAGAAGCTGGAAAGGCACTGTCGCTGTGCATCGACATGCAATGCATTATATGTCACATTGCTGGCAAGGATGATCACCAGGTTCGCCACCTCTGCTTTCACAATTATAAATACATTATTAAAAAAAAAAAATAAAGAAGTAAATGAATGAAAAAAATAAAAACCTTCAAATCCAGCATGTATCCTCTGCAGAGTTGGA